AAACTGTTCAGACCAGGAAAGGGGAAAATTAACTATGCCGGTCATACCATACACAAGAGAAACAACCCTATGAAAACAAAATGTTGTTCGAGCACATAGATATTATACAACACACGCTTGGAGTTCCAAAAGTTACACAATGCTAAAAGTGATACAAACTTATAATCACCATAAGAGTCACTCACTACAAACACTAAGCAATATAACTAACATAAACAAATATAATGAATATTAAAATAAGATTGTTTAATAAAATTGAAACTTTAAATGGAAAACATAAAGAGTGACCACGAGTGGCTTACGGATGCTTCATCAACCAAGATTGAAGGTAGCTTCTTCTCGGTTGCAATAACAACCCCATTAGCAGCTGCAGTAACCAGGTAAACACACAATTAAACAACCCAACTTTTAAAATTTCCATTCAACTAAATACCAGATAATACTTTTGAGCCATCAAAAAAATTGATACCCAAATAAAGAATCCATCTTTTCATCCAGATTCTACTAACATTTCAACAAGGAGATTCAGCAAACCGACTGGATTGTAAGTACTGAGTGCATTATTACCTTTGATCCCGAGAGAGGTTTGGCCCGACCCGACTGCCGTCAAAGCGTGCTCGATCTGCACTAGCTTCCCTGAAGGACTGCTCACCATACACCGCAAATAAATCAGAAAATACAAAAACCCAACTAAATTTCCAGAGAGAGAGAGAGAGAAAGAGAGAGAGAGAGATACCTGAAAGTGGTGAGAGAAAACGAGTACTGGCTGTCTCCCATTGTTTTCTAGAGAGAGACTGAAGCTTTTCTTCTTTTTTTTTTTCTGAGAATCGAAGAAAGAGAGACTTGAGGTGGCTTTGGCAGAAAGAACAGAAGGGGGTCTAAAGACTGGAGCTTTACTTGTTGGAGAAGAAGGTTTTGATTGGGCTTTCTGGCCCAAAAATGTGACCCGACCCGAGCCTGTTTTTATTTTTCTTTTATTTTTTGATTTTCTTTAGAAGACGAAGGAAGAGGAAAAACCCTTCTTCTCCAACACGAAAGTATATCATAAATCACACCATCCCTCTCTGCAGAAGCAGCACTCATCGCATTGAAGCAAATCAAGCACTAATTCGGTAACTCTCTCTCTCTCTCTCTCTCTCTCTCTCTCTACACGCACATATGGTGGTGTAGGTCTCTGTGACTCTACTGAATGGCGAGTGAGAGTTGATAAAGAACTGAGCTTTTTATTTCTCGCGATTTCTCACTATTTTCTGTTTGGGTTCCGAGAAATTTCAATTTTTACCACTGTAATCCCGATCATATTTAGTATAGAATGTAGTTGGGTAAAACCCCTTTTGCTGGTTTACCGAGCTAGAGATGGATCTGTCTGTAATCTCTGATAGAAATTTTGTGCTTTATTACTGCTGATTCAGATCAATCTCCAAGTTCCAATCAGACCAAAATGTTTCTCACAAGGTGAATTGCATTTTTGAGAATTTTTTGAAGTGAATTATTTATCTCGAATTATATATAATATGTGTATACTTAATTTCTTGTTGATTTGATTGTGGGGTTTGTGCGTGTTGTGAAGGACTGAGTATGACAGAGGAGTAAACACTTTCTCTCCCGAAGGCAGGTTGTTTCAGGTTGAGTATGCCATTGAGGCCATCAAGGTACTTATCCTTATTAATCCTTGCTTTCGCACAAATTCAAAAATCTTAACAATTTTTTGCTGTATTTATAAATAAAAGGTAGGATTTCGATTAGTTGGTGTTATAAAGTTATTGGTTTTGACGTATTACAGTTGGGTTCGACTGCAATTGGGCTAAAGACGAAAGAAGGTGTTGTGCTTGCTGTGGAGAAGCGCATCACTTCACCTTTGCTGGTCTGTAAACTCTCTCTTTATATGACTTCTATGTGCTTGCCAATTTTTACTTTTTGTTGTTAATAGTTTTTATGGCTATATTTCAAACCAAAGCTGCTAGACCATATCTTCTCAAACAAAATTAAATTCCTATGAGGTTGTTTCAAATGTATGTAATAGCATCTCTTGATTTTTTGGGAAGTTGACTTGTTATAGATCCTTTGTCCTTCAACACATGGTACTTTTTGTGTCTGGCATTCGCAAATTGTCAGTATCATGTTGTTTAAGAATCATGCATACATTAGGAGCAGTAAAGCCTCTGAAAGGTTTATATTAGATCTCATCTTAAAATTGTATTGGGGTGGAACAACTTTTGTCTTCCAAAATGTTTCTTTTGTCTTCTCTCCTTGTTTTTCGTGGATTTAGTTGTTCATTTTTCAAATCTGGAGATTTGCAATTTCATTGATGAATGCTACTGTATACTGTTTGCTTTCAGGAACCCAGCAGTGTGGAGAAAATTATGGAAATTGATGACCATATAGGATGTGCCATGAGTGGACTGATTGCTGATGCTCGTACACTTGTTGAACATGCGCGAGTTGAAACTCAGGTAATTTTCTTGGTGGTTATACACATTGATCTCCTAACCTTTTTACTGGTTTACTAACTTCCAGTTTTTTGCAGAATCATAGGTTCTCCTATGGTGAGCCAATGACTGTGGAGTCTACAACACAAGCTCTTTGTGATCTTGCCCTACGATTTGGTGAAGGTGATGAAGAGTCCATGGTAATAGCCATTTCATTTCTTAGTTTATATGAAAATTCATGTTTTTAATCTTTAGTCAAATAATTAAGTTTGTTTACTTTGGGAAATGCTAATATAATATAATACTCGTCTTCGTTAAAGTTTATTGAACTGTTCTGTTCATTTTATAGCAATTTATGATCAAGCACTTTACGATGAAATTCTAGAGTTTTTTAAGATACCTGTTTACTTTTGAGAAAGAGATAAACCATGATATACTTGGTGTTAATTTTTATATTAGTGAAGTATCTTTTGGCACTATACAACATTCCCTTTGTACTGTTCCTGTATTCTTATTGATATGTAATACGCCATTGCTATACGTTTGGCTCTTTATATTCTTTTTTGCAGTCTCGACCATTTGGGGTATCTCTCCTAATTGCTGGTCATGATGAGCACGGGCCCAGCTTGTAAGTGATACTTGGTCTGCTTTGTCTTGCAGTATTCGACATGTATAAACACTGATAAGTGATAAGATGCTTTATAAAAACTGAAAAATAAAAAATCCCCAAATCGTTGCTTCTGTTTCGTACATCCTCTTCTCTTTCAAGTACTCATTTTTTTCTCTGAATTAAATCTGTTTCCTGTCGCTGCAGGTACTACACTGATCCATCTGGCACATTTTGGCAGTGCAATGCAAAAGCTATTGGTTCAGGTTCGGAGGGAGCAGACAGCTCTCTTCAAGAGCAATACAACAAGGTATCTTTGCTTGTTTTAAGTTTAACTGATGTATTCTTATTTCCATAAACGTATCTTACCGGGTCAACCGACCTGTCAACCTTCTCAATAAGGAGTATGAAATGGTTCTACACATGATTGACCTTCTAGGTCGAAGCCTTTTTTTTTTTTTTTTTTTTTTTTTAAGACTATTTTATGGTAGAAACAAGATATGGAGGAACTTCCTTCTTCTTCATGCTTTTTCAACTATATAGGTTAATATTTTCACGTATTGATTGTTTTCAGGACTTGACTCTTCTAGAAGCTGAGACAATTGCTCTGTCTATCCTTAAGCAAGTTATGGAAGAAAAGGTGACGCTTTATAATAGATATAGGTTTTGTATGCATACTTTACTTGAGCGTTGTTCTAATTTGCATAGTATTTACACTGATTGACCTATGGTACTGTTCTCAGGTGACACCCAACAACGTAGATATCGCAAAGGTTTCTCCAACATATCATCTGTATACCCCCTCTGAGGTGGAGGCCGTCATTGCTCGCCTATAAGTTCTCATGTTTCTCGAATTTGTTTCTTGTCACTACTGTTTTTGCTAAGTTTAAAGAAATAGATTTCGGATTTGTTTCTGGTTAACCAGTAAAAGTCATTCGGTAGTGCAGTGCAATACTAAAACATTCCGAGGATATTATCATCTTACTTTGGTGAGCAGATGCCTTACTGCGCTCTAATGAATGATTTCATGTGAACTCGAAACATTTTAGCTTTCATTTTGTTTTGTGCACAAATCTGTGGTCAGTGCAGGCTAGCAGTTGAAATGTGATGCCTTTTCTCTTACATGTTGAAATCGGTTTCCGTTTGTGTTTCAACCGAATGCTTGGAATACTACATTTGCTGATCAGAGTAGAATTGCACCGTGCTATTAGACCACCTTTTACCGCTCTACAAACCGGTGTTTGATTGCAGAGCGGTAATTAGATTTGGAACTATGAAGGCTGTTTCTTTTACAGAACAACAGTCGCTCGAAAACTTCATAGCTTCGGGTATTAATCTCCCTCCCTCCAAGAGATAGAGCTCAGAAGTTGATCTCGCTCAGCCGGGCGTTTCAAAATATATCAAGTTAATTGGTTATTTTGGATGAAATTAACCTTGTGGATTATCAAGTTAATTGGTCCTCTTGCACACTGCTTATTTGTAGTCCTTAAATTGAATAAATTGAAGAAAAATTAAGGACCAAGGATAAACATGGTGTGCATGAGAACAAAAAAGGTGTGCGTTTGTCATTTCCATTCCTTAGATCAGCATATTGTATGGCTGAAGGCACCGAATTCTGATTATGCTAAAATAAACAAACGCTAAAATTTCCAAATAATAAAAAATAGCTCAACTTGTTTACATGGGAAACGAGAAAACCGGTTAAGGTGTTTGGATATATGACATGAAGACGCACTGAAATTGCTTTGTTAAAAAATGCTATTATGAGGCAGAGATTCAGAGTAAAAGGGGTAGAGGAAGACCCAGGAAGACTTGGAAAGAGACTTTAAGAAAATACATGGAGTACTTGGAGTTAATGAACAGCTTGGCGCCAAACCAAGCGGAATAGCGTTTTAGGATTAACACAACCGTTCTCACTTGGTAGGATAGAGGCTTGTTGTTGTTGTAATAAAAAATTGCTCCACTGAAAAGGAAATCTGATATTTCATAAATAAACCAACGGGTTCACTTGTTTACATGAACCCTCTTATTGCTCCAGGGGGACCTTCGTAACAGTTCAAAAATATATGAATCCCTTCTAGTTACAGACAAATTAATCCCAAGTAGCGCTACAGTCACGCTAAGCCTCTCAAGCGCTATTCTTAATGTCCAGGACTGAACTACTGTGTATAGCCACTATATTCAAGAACAAAAATCATTGGAATTTTGATATTCTATCAAACTACGAGTCCAGATGAAAATTTATTGCAAACCTGTTCTCAGTTCTCACCCATCCTTTGCTGCCAAACCTACCCTGGGCGTACGACGCTGCTATCTATCTCTTTGGCAAAGGTCATCTGAAGCAGCAGCATCAGCAGAGCGACATAAAGTGAAGGCCGCACCATCAGAAGCGTTGCCAAAATGGTCAAGCAACCATTCTGGATTTTGATTTCCTGCACAACAGAAAATAAGAACCATGTAATTCAAATTCGAAATCAAATATAACTATGTATGAAGGTAGAACAAATCAAAATATAAGATCCAGGAAAGCGAGTTTTGTGGACACAGCAATAGGGTTAATTTTACTTCTTTGCAGGGGTTGTTTGTCAAAAATGTAACTGATACAAGAACTTAAATCATATAGTAACAAAACAAGCAAGGACTTGTTTCATAGCATATTTGATACTTTTGGGGTTGTTTTACTTCTCTGTAGGGGTTTCAAAGCATAATTTTACTTCTCTTTAGGGGTTGTTTGTCAAAAATGTAACTGATACGAGAACTTAAATCATATAGTAACAAAACAAGTAAGGACTTGTTTCAAAGCATATTTGATACTTTCTGTCCAAATAAGGCTAACGGAGTACAATGTCTTTTGCCTAGATGCGAAAAATGGATCAGAGTTCAGAAATATGTAAAGTGCAGAATGTCCCATCTTTACCTGAAGAACATTAGGTCATTAAATTCACTCGTAAATCATGCTAGGGTTGCCCTCTTGCCTTTTGCATCTCTCGACTGCAAAACCATTATTTGTTAGTCATAAAGTAAATTCCTTCTTTAAAGTATAAAAACATGAGCCTACAGGAACTACGAAAGGAACTTAGAGAGAGATGAAGAGACAGACCTGTGCAGCAACAGATCTCTTTGAATCCAAGAACTGGTTGTAAATGCCATACAATCTTGTCTTCTCAGCTTCAGAAACGGATGGTCTTGCCCTCGAAGCAGTAGACTTCAAGAGAGCATCAGAAATAACTGGCTTCTTCCCTGGATCATTGGTATCTTCAGCATTTAGAATCTCATGCACTGCTGCAAGCTGAGCATCTGAGAGCAGAGCTTGAAGGTCGGCCCCACTAAATCCCTCAGTCATATAAGCTATGGCTCTTAAATCCACATCATCATCCATTGGTAGCTGAAGCAATAGAAATAAAACATGATTAAATTCCAAAATGAAAACAAGATATACTGGAAAAGCATTGGATTTCGGAGTATCAACTATCGCTACTATCGAGTTAAGGGACTTGGCTACAATGCCACAAAATATCCAAATAGAAGTTAAGAGTACATGCATTAATCATATAATGTTAATTACTGACCTTTTTCGAAAGGACCGTCAAAATATCCAACCTTTCACGCAGAGATGGAAAATCACAAAACAGAAGGCGATCTAGCCTACCAGGTCTCAACAGTGCAGCATCAAGTAAATCTGGTCTACTGCTTAACATGAAAATGCAGCCTTTTTTTCATTAGATAAGTAGTCAATGGGAAAACATATTATCAGACAAGATGGCATATACTCAGTCAAGACGAAGCAAATATGATAGAAGCAATCCACAAACAGGACTTTCGTTTGCGTAGGAGGAACAATATCAACATAAAAACACAAAGGTAGTTAAGCACAAGATTCGGTTTCTTGTTCTAGCACGAATATAGTATTCCTGTATGGGTCATAATCACGAGTATTACAATCGCTAAATTGACTTTCTGTATAAAATTTAATTGATCACCACGATTAACAGTACTTCGAACAAAGATATTCTGACCCAAAGACTGATATCTGGATTCAACATTTAAAAATAAATCTAAAAATAAAACCATTACTCAGACGAGAAACTAACCTTGTCGCAGCAAAAACAAAAACACCAGTCAAAACTTCAACACCATCCAATTCGGTCAGAAACTGTGAGAAAGGGAGATATTAGGATAAGAAAATTAGCTATGACGAGAAGAAAAAAATAAAATAGGACAAAAACACGAGAGAAACCTGATTGACGACACGGTCAGTTACTCCAGTATTGTCATGCCCTCTTTTGGGGGCTATGGAATCAAATTCGTCAAAAAAGAGAAGACATGGTGCTGCAGCAGCAGCTTTGGAGAATATATCCCGAACCTAGACATCAGCAGCATTCAATGTGCATTACACCTCACAAAATATCATTATAACATATAAGGATTGAGATCTGTGTGAACCAGTAGAGGAAAAGACACATAAATTATGTGAATAAATGGGGCATAGAGGCTACAAGAAATCAACTCAAAAGGGATTTACTTATGCAAAGAAATAAACCACCACTTACAGCTTGCTCAGAAGCGCCAATGTATTTATTCAAGAGTTCAGGTCCCTTGATGGATATAAATCTAAGTGAACAAGCTGCAGCAGCAGAACCAACTATGTGTGTCTTTCCACAGCCAGGTGGACCATACAATAGAATATTTGATCGCAACCTTAAAGGAGCTTTCGCAAATATATTTGGAAACCTTGAAGGCAATTCAATCATCTGATATTGATCATATAGGAATTGGAGATAAGAGAACTATCAGATTTTAAAAGTCAAGTACCGAAACAAATGCATTATATATGACATGAAAAGTAAGATATGATAGCAGTATAACATATAAAACCAATATTACAAACATAAACAAACTAATAAACAAGCCAATATTACAAAACTAATTGATACAATCATACCTCTTTAATTGAATTGCGGATGTCAACAAGACCGCCAACATCATCCCACCCAGACCGGCCACCTTCAGGAGCAGATTTAGTGATGTCGCGCATGGCAACTGGAAGGAAATCATGCATTGCCCGAGAGAAATCATCCCTAAGTAAAGTGGGCTTTTCACACTTGTCGACAGATAAATGATGAGGCAGAAAACGACCAATGGCAGCATGAACAGTTCTATCAACCAAGATTTCCTGAAACAGATGCATTTTAAAGATAGTAAATATCAAAACTAGATCTAACATAATTTCAATAACTCTCAATGATCAGAATACCTACAAAAACATTCTAAACATGAAAGTCGTACCACAGGCAGAAAAAGTCATGCTTGAAGCACTAAAAAGGATTCTCTTTTGTGCACATGAAAAGAAAACTGACACAAATGTATTAAATCAGAGACAAAGAGGTCTCCGTATTCATTTGTACCAGTAAGTAGGCAGCTCTCTCTCAAACTACTACAAATATTCTAACATCTAAAAAACGACCTTTAAATATGTGTGTACATGTATATTGGGGGCCTGGACAGTTTAGGTTTAAATTGCACTTTTCAAGGCAGATTATCAGTTTTCACCATATTATAGGTGGCGAAAACATTATCATGTGGCAAGCATTCATTTATCAAGAATTCAAATTTCCAATGTAGAAAGATAAGGATGCAACAAGGGAGTAATATAAGAGCTTGTAAAGCATATAAAAGTGACTTCTACATATCGTTGCACTACTCCCCCTCTTCTACATATCGTTGCACTACTCCCCCTCCCCAAAGAACTGAAGAAGTAATTTTAAAACAGGCAAAATACCAGATCATATGAATCATAGCCATCACATTTGGAAGCTACATCTTCTAAGATATCATCAGAACATTGTAAACAGCGTCTCTGAATTTCATGCTTTAAAATGGCTGCACGTTCTGAGGCAGCAGGAGCAGGCAATTGCACGTGAAAATCAAACCTTCCTGATAACATCAAAAGTCAAAAGCAGAGCAGTCTTAAATTTTAATTAAACTAAAAAAAAAAAAAGAAGACAAATATCTGCTATGAATCTACCGCAATTATAATGCAGTACTCATTCTACGTTCAGAAAGAACAAACCTGAAGAGCTTAATGACTGTGGTATACTCTCTAAAGACTTTATTGAAGCTATGAATGCAAGCGGACCAATTCCACATGTGTTCTTCCTTTTTTCCTGTTCAAAGTTATAATAGAATCCTTAGCTTGAATAAGGACAAAAACAACAGTAGAATTATTGCATTTCATCATGTTGGTATAATAGATTCAAAGCTATGTCATTCAGGTATTACAATAACAAACACAGAATAGGCTAGGATTTTATCCTAATTTTGCAAGTGCTTCCAATTCTGGTTTGAGCAGCACACTCCAAATATTTTTTAATAAAGGGACTCATGGACTCCAGAATACAGGGATAAGCTATGGAGAAATTTTCTGATTCTACGTTTCTCCCTATTTTTAGTTCAAGCAGAACCGAGACTTGAGGGTCATAGATCGATAAGATTAGGGACTGTTTTGTGAAACAGCTCCATTACAAATTGGCGTATCAATTTAGAGACAAATGAATGACAGCATTTATATACTCACTTTCAGGTTTGAAAGAACTGTTTCTACAAATTTTATTTGGATCCCACAAACCTAATTTGAACCTGAAATAAGCTTTCCATTTATTCATTGCAGTGCCAAATACATTATATTGTACTAGTCTAGCATACTAAATCAATTCTAGTACCAAGTCGCAAAAGTCACGGTTGTATGTTAGAATGTTAATAAGTAACACTTTAACATCAGCATTATAGCTAACATCCTAGGAACCGTCCCTATAGTATTTACCCAATATTCATCCATAATGTCAATGAGAAATTCTGTCAGTGCAAGCACAGAGGTTGAAGCTTGAGATCCTTCGGAGTCTGAAGAGGATGAAACAATGCTATCAAGATCATCAAGAATTACAAGAGATGGAGCATGGTCTAAAGCCTCAGATATATAGCTCAAAAGCGCTTGGCGAATGGTCGAGGCCTTTTCCAAGGCAAGTTGAGAACAAGGTACAAAAACTCTGCCAAGGCAAAAAGAGGCATTAGAATACATTTATGTTTTTACCCATCAGTACACCTCTCTTACATATACAATTCACAAAGTTAGAAGTTTTAATGCAAATTCATCACGATGACAACATACATGTGCGCTAAGAGGTTTTCATGTTCTTCGAGACACTTAGCAACAGTTCTCGCCAATAATGTCTTTCCCGAACCCTGATAGGAGAAAAAGGTGAAGAAAAAAACACATCAAATCAAATATTTAATATAATCAAATATTTAATATATAAAAAAATTGTTTCCTAGGATAACACCGTAACAGCTTATGAAGATTAACTTCCTGATATTAATATCAAATTAAAATTGATTTAAAAAAAATTGCATTTTTCATATCAAAAAAAAAAAAAAAAAAAAGGAGAAAGTCCATTGGGAAAAGCTTGACAAAACCAAAACTTGATCTGTTCATTGAGAAAATTTGATCCTGTAGCTGTCCCCAAATAGTGGCACTAAGATTCTAAGGGATCAAATTGATAAGTAGAAAAAGAGTATAGGAAATTAAAGTACCCTGCTTATGTTTCGACAATAAGCATTTACCTGATCACTATACTAATGTTTAAACTATCAGGGACTTTTAACACCTTAATCATTTATACCCAAGACCCAATGACAATTGCACGACAATAGCAGAAAATTGAAGATCCATCAGAAAAGAAACACCACATCTTTACACGGTTAACCGCCACATAAGTGTTTTAAGTTTTAACTTCAGAATTCAGATACATCACCCAGTGGAAAAACTAAATCTGAAAAGTTAATAAACTCACAGGAGGTCCATATAGCAGAACATGTCCAGGGAGAGGAAGATCGTGTGAGCTGAACCATGCCCCAGAAGCAGGAGATAACAACACCAACATTCCTACATAGGAAAACATAATGTATTAGGGAACACAATGGAATCCTTAAAGGGGTAAGAGTAAATATAATTTACAACTCTCATAGGAATCGGTGAACATATAAAGGTGTCAGAATAGAAAACAACTCCACAAGGTAATACGAATACCTACTATTTAAAACGTCAGAAGCAATTGTCCCCATCCAGCTCAAGGTTGATACATCAGAATTGATATCTTTTTCAGACATTCTCTCTCTAACTGAATTAAAGGTCACAGGATCGGCCATCTTAGGATCGACCACCTTCAGCTTGCCAATTGACTCTACACCTCCAATATTATTGTTACCTTCGTTTCTTTCATCAAATACAAGCTCATATGCATTTCCAGCAAGTTGAGATTCATTGGAGAATTTCAGTACATACAAGATTTCAACTGGTTGCTCAGCATTCTTCTTTTTGTTTTCAAGGGATCCATCTGATGATTCTTGTAGCTTTTCCTCAATCTCAAATTTATGCCCCTTCACTTCAAAGTGAAGTATAGTTTCATTTCCCAAAACTAAGGAATTAACTTTTTCTCCTGCATTGGAAGCAATAGCATCAAATTGTGCAAGGACCCACGCTTTAACAAGACTCTCTACTCCCTTTAACTCGTCAGAATGCGGAGCTGCCTCTTCATCTTCTTTGCAAGAAGATTCACATGAAAAACCAGCAACAACTTTGTCATGGGTTGACCAATCAGCAACATCTATATAGGTGCTTGAGCCGGTCGTCAGAAGCATGTTTTTCTTCTTGCGAAGTTTATGCCTTTCAAGAACATCTAGACCATTTCTTTCAACAGCTTTGTCCTTCAATATCTTAAAGTGACAAGGAGAAAGTGAAAGGAATGGAATGTCATTCTTCAAAATACCATTGCATACCTTCAAATAAACCCCTGCAGGCATGATAGCAATCCCATTAAAACAATATGTTTCATCAATGAAAGGTTAGGATGTTCTTCTTTGCCTTATTAAGTGGCAAGCATAGCATACCCCATTAGCCACTTAATACAGGAAGTGACGGAAAATACTCGGGAAGACACCAACTTTTGTGATTAAATGTGAAAGAAACAGTGTGCTAATAAGCATCATACATGTATAATTAGAAGATTACATCCAACTAAGGCAACTAGAACAATCCAAAATCTAGATGGTGTTCCAATAGCATTTATCTGTTTAAAATAACATCCAAAATGTAAACTCTAACAAATATCATTCAAGTCTATAGTTCGATGTGCATTATAGCTAAAAAGTACTCTATTAGACATTGTGTAGAATATACGCACATGAATGCAGACGAGTTCTCAAATAAAGACGAAGAGATTGGGCAATCATAACATGCCCTTTAGCAACTGAATCAGAAATCAACAGCCGAACAATTACTTCACGATTGTCCTTTTTGTCATTTCCACTGTTAGATTCCTTCAGAGTTGAACTGCTTCTTGTTTTCAACCCATCATTTTCAGAATTTTTCATGCTCTCTTTTGGTGATAATCTTGGCACTACAGCTACGAACTGAGGAGATTGTAAGGAGAACATTTTTGCTGTTTCTGGGTGAACCATAGCAACAGAAGTGAGAACAACTCCAAGCTCAACGCCCTTGACATAACTTTTGTGAACTAATCTCCTGTCCGGATCTTGAACGCGCAGTAGTGCCTTTGAAATATGATACTTTCCGTTAGAAGAGAGCATGGAAGGATCTCCATGTGGGTTGACAGTCTTGCGTCTCTTTGGAGCAACTGCAACTTCAGTCCCTGGCACCAGTTGCACTGGTAATATCCCACAAGTAGACCAAGATATCAATACAGAGTACAACCATTAAGTCACGGCTCATCGATTTCAAATGCTAAGAATTCATTGAATAATTGGATTATGACAAAGCATACAGCATCTTACCCACCAATTTCTTCGGGAAGGTTGAAGCAACTTGGAATGTAATGGAAGTGCGGCCATTCAACCACAAAGGAAATCTCATTTCTTCACGGAGAATCCTCACCTGCATTCATCAAATGTAAACAAACTAATGCTAATATTCGAATTTATAGATTTCAAGCAACCGAAAAGGTCACGAATTGACAACATCGGAGCACCTGATTCAAAATTGCAGCCTCTGCTAGCTCAGCATTAAGCTCCAAAACCTCCCAATCATCCTCAGTGGAAGGCTCAATAGTGACCAGAGTAGCCTTCTGCACATTCGAAAGAGCTTGAACTTGAACCCTAGCGCGATCTGGCAACGAAATGCAATCCCCAAATTGCTGAGCAACCTGCAAAGCAATCAGGCACACAATCACTGATCAAATTTTAGAGTTTTCCGTTGCAGAAGCAGAGAAATTGAAGTTGAAACTGAGATTACCTCAATAGCCTGAGAAGCGGAGGTGGCGCCGGACCAAGCGACGTTCCAGCGGTCGGCGGTGGAGGAAGAGCGGAGCTCGAGAGCGAGAACTGGCGGGAGGGATGGGGAGGAGGAGTGGAGGGTTTGGATTAGGGACAGGGGGAGGGAGACGAAGCAGTTGTCTATGCCTCCGACTAACCGGACCTCAAACTCCATGGCCGGAAAGAATCAGAGAGACGGAGTAGAGCTTCGTTTCGGGAAGAAGATAAAGAGTCAAGCTTGAGCAGTGCCGGAAAACGGTCGTCCCCCGAGGCTTTCTCGAGTTGAGTAAAATTACGTCATCCTCCCTCCCACCAAATTATCCCATTGATTTTTGGGTGTGTATATTTTATAACGTGTTTTTTTTTCGAATTTTATAACTTGTTTATCAATTTGTCGGCTTTTTAGCTAAATGATTTCTGCGAGTGATGTAATTTTTAATTTCATCTTCAAAATTTAAAATTGATCAAAATAATTCTGAACTTGTTCATCTTCGATTATTTGTGTTAAATAGGAAGAAAATAACAATAATACTATTGATTTTATCAAATCATTTTAGCCCATAAACTGAGAGTAGTTTTGTTGTTTCGGTCCTCATTTAACAAAGATTTAAAACAATAATTAACTGTGGACAACTCAAATACCATTTATATTGATTTCAAGTCTCAGTGACCAAAATAAAAACTCACCCCAATCTCATCATTATTTTAGCTAAAACATTTGCAAACAATATTTAAAAAAAGAAGAAGATAAAAAAAGGGTGTTTCATTAAGTTATTCCAAGAAAATATTCTCTTAAAATTAACTAATTTGGCCAAGAAAACGAAAGGGAATGTACCATAAACTTATGAGTAAAATAGGAAAATAATTATTGTATACAAGTACACGGTACCAAAGTTGAAAGACTTTTTGGAACCCCAAAAAGAAAGTAAAAGGAAACGAAAAAAAAGAAAGAAAAAAAAAACGACACCGGATGATGCATGTCGATAGTGAGTTAAAAACCGCTATGGGGTCCCACTCACACACGACGTCGTATAAAATGTTCACCATCAAACTCAACCAACTCCACCAACTCCACCGAGCGTAGAGCCAAAAGTTCTGATAGCTCACGCCACTCTCGAGACGCCACACCGCCACACGCCGTCGTCTTCTTCTCTCTTCCACCTCTTCCTCTTCTCTCTTTCTTCTGGTAACGTCGTTTCGTGTCCTTTTGCTCTCTCCCTCTCTTTGCTCTCTCAGTCTCTTACTGTAAATGCTTGGATTGCGTCCACATTTTTCTGCTATTTTCTCGCTATTTTTTCTCTAAGATTTATTTATTTATTTTTATATTCTGTTCGTCATCGCTTTCTGTCTAATCTGGTCTAGGGTTTCCGTAAATATTTTCTCGAGAAATTTATTGTAATTGTTTGTGTATAAGTAAATTATATATACATGTTTATATATGAAGGGGCGTAACTATATTATATTTTATTGCTAATGTTTGAAAAATAAATTGTGAAAGCATTTTTCTGTCAGAATCAATGGCGTTTTAGTGATTAGAATGAGTTCTTAACAGTAACTGTGCCTCCTTGAATTTGTTTTTTAATGGAAAATATATGATAATTACGTGTTAGTGAATAGTGATTAGCCTTTTCGGAATTCGGGGTATGGGGTTTGGTGAGAGAGGTGGAGAAAGAGAGGAATCTGTGTATGGAATGAACTTTTGGTTGGAAACGGAGTGGTGTATAAACTGGATTACAATGTAGGATACATTTTTCGGAAAATGTTCGGAGTTGTACCTTCGTTGCTGTAATAAATTGTGTTTGATTGTGGTGAAAATTTGGATTAAACATGCCTCACTGCGAGGAGTTATATATTGCTGTGCTAAACCCTTCACATTTTTGTACTTTGACCTGGTATTTTGTTTTGGTGGGTATGATTACCTGAGGAAGGGATAGTTATGGTTGCTATGAATAGTGAATTTGACAGCTTTTTGTTAGATCACCAATGGAGTCAGACGAGGAGCAGGATTGTTTTCGCGGGTTATATCCAGAGTATGGTGCAATTTTCATGTCAAGCAGTGCAACGATAGATGAGTGTTTTAAACGGAGACTGTTTGGCCTTCCATCTTCACAAGGCCAATTTGTAAAGCAGATTAAAACTGGAATGATTTTGTTTCTGTTTGAATTCGAAAGGAGAGAACTTCATGGTGTTTTTCAAGCATGCTCTGATGGTGAAATGAATATTTCGCCTTCTGCATACAATTCATCAGGAAGGCAGTTTCCTGCTCAGGTATGAATAATGTCTAGTTTCAGTTGAGAATCCACTATTTTCGTTTATGTTTTTATTTATTACAAATTTCCAATTGGATCTATTAGGTAAAAGTCAATCTTATTTGGCGTTGTCATTCGCTCATAGAACCTGAATTCAGTGGCGCAATCAAAGATAACTATTTTTCAAATTGGAAGTTCAATTTTGGTCTGTCCAAAGCTCAGGTTTTCTCCTTACCTATTAAGTCAGACCTTGATGGGATTTAGAATTGCTTTCTTTAACAGTGTTGTTTCACGTATATATGTAGGTTCGAAGGCTTCTAATGTTGTTCAGTTCACGAAAGTTGAAATATCAGCGGCGGCAGAGAGAATTAGCCAGTAGAAGAGAAGCAATATCAGTGGACACTGCTGGTAGAGTCAAGGTAGTTGATGATGGCAAAACTCTATTGAGTGATAAGGCAACCAATGAGCTTGTTGCCGACAATCATAAGGGGCCAAAAATGACTGGGTCACCGGGGAATGTCTCTGGGAATATTGGAAAAGGAGATGGTGGCAGGTTGGCAAGTGATGAAGTGGGTAATCTTCATGACGTAGACAAGAAGGTTGGGGAGATCATGCAGAGTGAGTATCCTGTGCCCGTTCCAGGTGAAGTTGGACAATTGGATGCTACTTTTGCAATGTCTGAGAGGGCAGGGAATGAATTTAATGTGGATGTTGAATCCGTGTCATCTGAGCATCCTATGTCGGGTCAATCTGGAAATGGTGATGACGACCTGGTAATTCATGATGATTCCATCTGTTTAATGGGTGATCAATTACAAATCGGCAATACTGAAAGTAATGTTTTTGGGCCAGCTGTACCAACTGAGAACCCTGCTTTCTTTCAGTCTAGTCTTGATAGACCTGTCTGTGCTGGCATGCTTGTTGAAGACACAGGTTCTTTGATTCAAGATCAAACTAGATCAACTTCAACTGTTGGCCATCTAATGGAGCTGCCAATTGCTGGCCATTCTTGTTCACCATCTCCATCTTATAGAGATGTGATTGTAACCAGCACCTATGATCCGGATGCTCTTAGTCTGAACCATCCACGCTCACAATCAATTGGGGTCAATCAGAGTTCAAATTCCGTTCAAGATTGTTATAAACAACATGGCATTCCTTCCATTACAAATCAATCATACACAGAGCCAAAAGGAATCAATCAAAGCCTAGAGTCCAATCCAAAGTTTGATGTTCATGTTCCATTCGCATCCTCTGACCATTATGAGCACACATGTCATGGGAACATCATGCCTTTTCCAGGGGTGGCATATTCTGAAGAAATGACCATAGATTCTTCTGGAAAACATCGTTCCTGGGACCCAGTTTTGAAGAGTTTTTTATCAACTGACAGTTTTTCACAAATTGGAAGTAGCAGGAGGGAAACCAAGAGGCCAACATCTTATTCTCTCAGTCCTAGTAACTGTCTGTCCTTTGTGATTGATCGTGCTCATCCTGTAGCATTACAAAAGAAACTTGAGCAAGAAATGGCACAGAAATGGAACAATGAACCATGTACTGCTAATATAACTTCATCTGAGGAGCTTCAGTGCCAGTTGCAATGTCGCATTCATCCTGATGGTCATAGCACTAGCAGGGTGGACCATCGTAAACAGAAATCTTTTGATCATGATCTCAAGTCTTATGGATTTTCTGAAGGTATGCGTTCTGGTCATTGCAGCGTGGACTACCATAAACAGAAATCTTTTGATCATGATCTCAAGTCTTGTGCATTTTCTGAAGGTATGCGTTCTGATCTGAAGAATGAAAGAAGTGTATTTTCTCGCTTGGCTTCAGATACGCCTGGCAAAGAGAATAGTATGCATACTGACTACGAGGAAAATGATAACGATGTATCAGTGGATGAAGTCATGGCAATGTTGAGTGCGAGTAACTACAGCTGGGTGAAATCAAAAAAATCTAAGCGGGCTACTAGACTGCACGATGACAAAGAGAAGTTTAGGAATAAGAAAAAGACCAAAGTGGACTCTGAGTTGGATAGTAATTACTTGGAATTGATTCCAAAGAAGTCAAACATGGCTTCTGCTACACGCGTTGAAGATAAAGATGATCAAGGGCGTGAAGAAATACCATTTGTGGATTTCAAGCGGCGGAGTGTACTGCGGAAACTTAATGGTGATACCAAAGCCAGAGCCAAGGATGAAAGTGCAGGAAATGATAGACTGTTGGGTGGGCAGTGCAAGAGAAGAAAGTTGGTCAGGCCGAGTTTCAATGACAATGAGCCAGGCGATGAAAAAAGCATAAATGGAAATACTTCTCTGATTTTACAAGCATCGTCACAAGCATCGTCACAAGAATCTTCCATTAGTGAAGATGTTAATGGCAAAAGAAGGAAGCTGGTTAGACCGAAGTTCAGGGTGAATGAGCAATGTGATGATAAAAGCATGAATGGAAACACTTCTAAAATTTTACAATTATCATCTCAACAATGTTCTACTAGTGCAGATGGTGGAAGTTGTGAGGCTTCTGTTGGAAGCCAAGGTAAGTTGTTACCGCAAGGTACAGGTTTGTCGCTTGTGGTGTGTCAAAACAGTCATGAGAATGAGAATAATCAAACTGAAAGATCTTCAAAATATGAAAGAAAAATTGAAGTTGAAAGCTTTGCGGCATCAGTCAAATTCGGAGATGAAGGTCGAAAAGAGCCTCTTCATGATGTTGGCAGCCAAATTACTGACCTTGCAATCCCTAAGTTGTTACCGCAATGTACAGAATCGCCTCAAGTGGTTCCCGAAGGTCAAAAAGAGCTTTTTCATGATGTTGGCGGCCAAATTGCTAACCTTGCAATTCCTAAGTTGTTACTGCAATGTACAGAATGGCCTCACGTAGTTCATCAAAGCAGTCGTGAGAATGAGAATACTGAAACGGAAAGATTTCAAGAATATGAGCAGGAAAAAAAACCAGAAATTTCCGGACCGTCTATCAAAATTGAAGATGAAGGTGGAATGGAGCCTCTTCATGATCTTGGCAGCCCAATTGGCGGCCTTGCAATCCCATATAGAGACAAAAATCCTAATGTTCAGAAAGACTCGGATTTTAAGGTTCCTATTGTGCACAAATCGTCTCAAGATTGTAATGATATCAGTCACATCACTGTTCAGGAGTCAGCTGTGCAATTGCCGGAACAGAATTCTGGAACAGGAAATGCCTTTTCTGAAATTGAATGTGCAAGAGTCGATGAACTGGAGTTGCTTTCAAGATTTGAACTTTGTCCTGAAAGTGGTGATCTTAGTATCGGTAATGTAATAGGCAGCTCAGGTAGTCTAAACTCTGGGTTGCAAAGAGGAACCAAAGAAGTTGCTATTTGTGTAGATGCTGGTGTTGGTGATAACCAACATGAATCCAGTCATAAGCAGTCTGAGGCATCTCTTGACACCGTGAGTTGCTTGGACAAGCAAGAACCATCTCAAGATCACAGATCAGGTAAATTGTCTGAGGCACCTTTTGGCACTGTCGGTTGCTTCAAAAAGCCAGAATCTTGTCTAGAATTTCGGGACCTGAATTTGGGATTTGGAGAGCGACTTTTTATACTTAGTAATAGTTTCAAAAGCTATGATGTTAATGCTTCCAAGCATGTGGGTGAAAGGAGAGATGCTCTTCAAATCAGCGGTAGTAATGTTTGCAAAAGTTCTGACATTGATACTCCTGAGAATACGGAAGATACGATTAGCAAGGATCTTGTTCCAAGCAGAAAACTTGAGCCCGAGGCAGCCGACAACCGCTCTGATATTGATACTTCTAAGCATGTGGGCGATGCACAGGATTCTCTTCCAATCAGCGGTAGTAATGTTTGCAAAAGCATGGGTACCTCTGAGAATGTGGAAGAGAGGAAGGACTTTTTTCCAAGCAAGGGTATAATTAGAAAACGTGTACTCAAGAGAGCAATCAACCGCTCTAAATTTGATACTTCTAAGCATGTGGACGATGTGAAGGATGTTCATCCAGTCAGCGACAGTAATGTTGACAAAAGCATTGGTACTTCCGAGAATGCGGAAGAGAAGAAGGTTGTTTTCCCAAGCAGGGCTGTCATTAGAAAACGTGTACTCAAGATAGCAGACAACTGCTCTAAAATTGAGACTTCTAAGCACATGGACGATGCAAAGGATTTTCTCCCAATCAGCGGCAGTAATTCTTGCAAAGGGTCAGACAGTGCGACCTCTGAGAGTGCGGAAGCAAGGGAGGATGTTCTTCAAAGCAACGTTGAAATCGGAAAAGGTGAACTCAAGACGGCCTGCAGCCAAAATACAAGTTTAGCTCATGATTTTGAGTTTGATGATGATAGTAAAACTGATGATACTGAAAGAGAAAACAAGAGGCTTTGGAGTATTCTAACGGCCAGGTTGAAGCTGCTGAAGAATGCTCAACAAACAACACTGACAAGGTCCTAGCTTTCGGTCGATGCTTCATCCTGAAAACGAGTCATTGCAGTTGACAAACAGGTTTTTTCAAGTATTTGATTAGTTGAAGTTAAAGATCAACCCACATTCCTGTAAAAGCGGAGTACTAGGGCTTTTCAGCTTGTCGTGGTGTTACTAACAGAAGAGCTGGAAATACACGCATGAAAGCTGCCGCGTGCCGTGTTCTTGACCTTCTTCTGGTAGCTGTTTTCGAGTTGCTTGGAGTGGAGTGGAAGAATGCAACGGTTATGCATGCAAAGTGATGACCCTTTTTTGTTGGTTAAGCTCTGATTTTGGTTAAAGAATATAGTTTTCTTGAATATGTTCCCAGGATGTGTGAATCTTTTGAATCGGGTTGAAGGAAAATTATAATCTTGTTTCTTGTACTGCAGTGGTTTGTGTGGGTGATGCCTTTACATTGCATGTTGAAAATGTGATTGACCATCAAATTCAGGTTTTATTTATGATGTAATTGACCATTTGTTCAATCCCCATATTCCCATTTGCAACTAACAAAAAGCTTTCAGTGCTGTTCATTTTAATGAAAATCATATTTTTACATTAAAAAATCAATCTTTGTACTATTTATTTTACTCTTTATTTTATCCTTATCATTAAAATTCAAAATTTTCAAGCTTTTTTTCATTCGTTTTCTTTATTTTTTTGCAAAGTTGACGAAAATTCTAACAAAGTTGACAAAAATAATTATAATTGCATATTTTGATGAATTGAAATATCAATGTTAATGAATATTCAATTAAGAAACCACTGCATCAATTTGAAAAAAAATTTAGTGTTCCGAAAATTACTCTAGCTATAATAACTGAAGACCTGCAACTGGATCTCTCTCCTCTCACTGCCCTCCGCCGATGACACCCGATTCCGTTAACCCCCAAACAGACCCAAAATGCTGAGAAGTATTCGGCCCCGGCGGCCCCACCGACCCTGTTACGGCGTTTACATCTGCGCCGTTATCTCCGCTCTCCTCCTCCTCCTCTCCGTCTCTCTTCTCTACACTCGCCTCTCTCACTCCCAATCTTACCACTTCCAGCACCGCCACCAGAACCCCGATGCCCAATACGACGACGTTTCTCTCACCAACCCCCTCGTTTCCGACGAGGGCAACGACGTCGGCTCCATCGCCACCGAGGACAAGATCGACGAGCTCGACGACGTCGTAGAGGAGACGCCCAAAGACGAAGAGGTAGACGACGAGGACGACCCCCAATCGGAGATTTCGCAATCTAGAGTTTCCGGGTATGTATTCGATCACGTGACTGGGGTTATCAGGAGGGGTTTCAATAAGCGTAAAATTGAGGATTGGGAGGAGGATTACAATGGGTTTAACGTGGGATTGGGTGCATTGGATAAGAGCAAAGTGGCATTCGGATCGGACGATGTGCCAGTGGATATGGAGGTGCGGCGGAGGATGAGTGAGGTGGCAGGCATTGAGGACGCGCTTTTACTGAAGGTGGGGAAGAGGGTTTCGCCGCTGAGGGATGGGTGGGGGGAGTGGTTTGATAAGAAAGGCGATTTCTTGAGGAGGGATAGGATGTTTAAGTCCAATCTGGAGATGCTGAATCCATTGCAGAATCCAATGCTGCAGGACCCTGATGCGGTTGGGATTACTTGGTTGACAAGGGGTGATAAGGTGCTGCAGAAATGGTGGCTGAATCACTTTAAGAAGGTCCCGTTTCTCGGGAAGAAGCCATTGGGAGTTTCGGGGAGGCCCCGAGAAGTGAAGCTACGGGAAAATGGTAGTGAGGGTAGGAAAATGGAGAGTGATAGTGTTGACGGTGTTGTGAATGGAAGGGGAAATGGAATAGGTGTAGGAACAGAACTTGATGAAAATGAGAGTAAGGGGTTGAATTCAGGTTCAAATGGAAATTCTAGTACTGATAGGAATTTGTCTTACATGAGTAATGTGAGTAACAAAGCAATTGGGAACACCGTTGAACAAACTAGTGAGTCGGATCTGGATCAAGTGGGTGGCTTTAAGGATGAGTTTTCAGGTTTTATATATGCAGATGGCAAGAGATGGGGTTACTATCCCGGTTTGGATCCGTTTTTGTCATTCTCCGATTTTGTGGATGTGTTTTTCAGGAAGGGGCAATGTGAGATGAGGGTGTTTATGGTGTGGAATTCTCCCCCCTGGATGTATAGTGTAAGACAGCAGCGGGGGCTTGAGAGTGTACTGTCCCGTCATCGAGATGCCTGTGTTTTAGTGTTGTCTGAGACAATTGAGCTCGATTTCTTTAAAGATAACTTTTTGAAGGACGGGTACTTCTTCAAATTTTTCTTATTTTGATACATTTATTTGCTGATCTGCTAATGTTCATTTTTTGTACTGAGGAAATTCTTTTTTTATAGTTACAAAATTGCTGTTGCTATGCCAAATCTTGATGAATTATTAAGGGATACACCGACCCATATATTTGCTTCTGCCTGGTTCGAATGGAGAAAGACCAAGTATTATGCTACTCATTACAGTGAGCTTGTCCGCCTTGCTGCTCTCTACAAGTAAGTTTATTTAATTGTAGAGACGTCTTTATATGGGTCGGTCAATTTTATTTTATTTTTAAATCCAATTGGGACTAATGTGAACATGATTGGGATGGAACAAAATAGTACCTACAGTCAGATTTGGGACTTTCTTTGACATACTTATCATACCGCTGAAGATAATGAATGAGAAATCTAAGTTCTTGTCAATTTACTTTAATCGTAGTTTAAGTTTGACTGTAGCTATTCAACCATGTCAATCTGATATGCTTATGTAGGCACAATTCAAGGCACTAACTTTCATCTTTCCTATCATCAGGGTACACAAAGTTCAACAAGATAGAGTTGTGTTAGGATTCATGATTGATGTTAAATGCACAATCACATTCAGCTTTCGGCTAGGAACTTTCAACAGTTCAGAGCAGGAACTTAAACTAAGGGCTAAAAGCCTAAAAGTTTTAATATTTACCCCCTACCAATCAGTGGAGGAAATAATTGGTAGAAATAGGATCAACGGAATATTTTAACTTGGTAGTTTCATTCATTATAGATATATCAGAATGGAATTCTTTCCCCTTTTATGTTTCTGTTTATCCATTTTATATTAATCTGGTATCTCATAAAAAAATAAAGAGATAAATTCTGTCAATTTGGCTTAGAAGAAGACTATCTGGCTGTTACTTGGTTAAGAAGAAAACTACAGCCATTAGCTGGACCTGCGTAATTGTAGTCACCCTTGCAATAATTTTCAAACATTCTTGGAGTGGGCACTATTAGTTCTCCTTGTAGTTGCTAATGCTTTGAAAGGAGTTTAAACCTTAATCTTTCTTAATTGCATTTCATTTCTATACAATCATTTTTTATTTGTTTGTTGTAACAGAGCTGTGTGCTATAATTTTGTTGTAAAGAGGGAAATCAAGTGGTTTCTTTTCCTTTTCTGGAGTGGAGCGAAGTATGAAATATTGTTTCTGCAAATTGTAATTCCTCTACCTGAATTTTTTGATTTTCCTTGCTCCATTTTCACTTTCAGCAAAAATTCTTAACAAATAAATGAGCTGAAGAGCTTTCATGGTATGTGCTTTAGCGTTTGAGTTTTAACAAATCAATGAGCGCCATTTTCACTTTCATCAAAAAATTCTTAAAAAAATAAATGAACTCAAGAGTTTTCATAGTATGTGCTTGAGCAGTTGAGTTTTAAAAAGACTGCAAGTTTTGCTAGATGAGCTTGATTCAACTAAAGAAGATTTAAGTTTCCTGCTGAGCATATCATGGAAAACTTATCGCATGTGTTGAATTTTTAGGTTCAGAGTTTTCATTCTATATGTTATATGCCAAACTTAAGCATGGCCATTGTCATCCTGTCTGATATGATCTGGTTCTGTGTTACGTATTGGATTTTAGATGCTGATATGTGTAAGCTACGTTAAACAGAATGGTGCATTAAACATAACTTCAACATTTTTCTGTTAAGCATAAAGATCTTCCTAACTTCATTTGTTGCATTTGCAGATATGGAGGAATATATCTTGATTCTGATATAATAGTTCTGAAGCCGTTATCTTCACTTCACAATTCTGTTGGTAAAGAGGATCGACCTGCGGGAAGTTCTTTGAATGGTGCTGTAATGGCATTTAATAGGAGGAGGTATGAACATGACTTCATCTCTAATTATGGGAATCAAAGTACTATTCAGTTGAAATCATTTTGAAACAGAACAGACTTGTATTTATCATCGAATTTTAATAACGAGGTTTGTTTTCATTTTTTGGTTGGTTAAGTGTGCTTTTTATATGGGTGCACTGCGTAGAGTACTAGAGTTCTCACCTACTGCTGTCCCTTTACCTCATCCATCCTACTGGTTTAGGATTCATAAACAGGAGCTTTCAATGATTTCTTCTTGACATTACACCAAACCCTAAACCCTTAACCCTTGACCCTTGAAAGTATCTATATTTGTTTGTGTGTGTACTGGGCTATATGTTTGCGTGTTTTATGCGTCTCAAAAATTCAAAATTGTTTTGAATTGTAAAACCTTTGTTGTGTAAACACCAAAGAAAGAGAGTCCAGGAGAATCACATGGAAAATTAGGAAATTGAGTTATATTTGAAATTTTGAGTGGCACTGATGAGGAAAATTGTAAACTAGTATATTTGACTTGTATGAAAATTTTGGATTTGATATTTGCTTCACTTTTCCATGCAGTCACTTCATAATGGAGTGCTTGAAAGAGTTTTATATGACATATGATGATACTCGTCTGAGATTTAATGGGGCTGATCTTTTGACAAGAGTTGCACGAAGGTTTTTGAGTGGTCGTAATAAATCAGTTAGACAGCTGGAGCTGAAAGTGCAACCTTCTTTTGTATTTTTCCCAATCACCTCTCAGAATATCTCAAGGTAATCTTATATGAATTCTTTTCCAATGCGAGAGGAGTGTTGTGGGCTGGAGTGCCAATCGATCCACCTTGATTGCTACTCATTTCCTACAGCAGTCCTGGAACATTCATCCTGCATTGAAGAAAACCCCATCTTCTGATATTCTTACGTTTACGAGTTTTATATTAGGATTCATGCTGGTGTATTTATTCAAATATTCTTGACCTCTTGTTCTTCGATGTAGCAGTTTTTAACTTTTGGTTTATAAATCTCCCATGCGCTTTCCTCCTAACTCAGTTGATGTGGAAACAGATACTTCACTGCACCGTCAACAGAGACTGAAAAGACTCAACAAGATGCCCTGTTCAGAAAGATTCTAGATGAGTCGTTAACATTCCATTTTTGGAACAGCTTGACGTCTCCTCTCATTCCAGAGCCAGAGAGCGTTGCAGCCAGGCTTATTGACCACTCTTGTATCCGATGCACTGATGTGTTGTGAGTTAGCATAATACTCTGTTTGGTCAATACTGAAAGGGCCGGATAACATTGCAGGCTTATCAAGTTTTCACTCCGGCCTATGTTCACTGATGTGTTGTGAGTTAGCATAAATACTCTGTTTGGTCAATACTGAAGGGGCCGGATAACATTGCAAGCTTATCAAGTTTTCACTCCGGCCGATATTTAGAGGATAAGTATTTAACCTGTATTGGTGATCTGTCTGTTGAGGACATGAAAGCGTAAGCTCGTTCATGCAGTTGTAAGATCGTGTATCTTCTCTGTATGCTCATGAAAAGATAGAGTTCGTTACTTTGTGAAATGCTGGTGGAATCTCTGCTGTATCTTGGAAAACCTTTTTCACTCAAGTTAGTTAGGCGGCTCTTAGTCTCTGTCATTTGTCTTCCGAGTATAGAGCATCACCGGTTAAGGTTTGAATGCAACGTTGGTTCGGCCAACTGTTCACCTGTATTGAAGAGATTTTTTGTTAATAGTTTACATGGAAATATAGAAGGATGTCTTATTCTTTGTTATATACTCCTCTCTCTCTCTCTCTCTCTCTCTCTCTCTCTCTCTCTCCAATGTACATAATCTTAGGGGTGGGCATAAAAACCGCCAAACCGTAAAACTGCATTGAACCGTATGAAAAAAAAAAAAAAAATAATCATGTTGACTAGGAAAGTCAAATTTGATTCAAAAATCGAACCGGACCGTTCAAACCGGTTTCAGTTCTGATTTCGAATGAACAAGAACTAGCTGGAATCGAATCGAACCAAACCATTTTATGAATAACAAATTAATTAATTTTATATATATACACACATATGTCATGGTATAATAGGTTGAAAAATTAGTTTTACCAAATTGCAAAGTAGTGGATCCCATCCCAATTAGGGCTCACTCACCTCACTCACAGCCTCACATCCCCATTCCCCCATTTCACACAGGACCCCTCTTCCTTGTGGACGCTCTCCACGATGGAACTTCTCATGCATCAATGTCTTCCACCCAAATTAATTCTGCTGGAGTTCCACTTGAACAACAAACTTTGGGGAATAACCTGTTAAAGGAGGAGTTTGGGAGTTCTCTGCCATTTCAAACAAATTGGCGGGTATTTAATAGCTTCTGTGATTTTTTTTAATCTGTAATTGGCATGCTCGTTAGCTTATATCATATGGGCTTATTGATACAGATAATTGCTGAAATGAGGTGCAATGCTTCTTCCATGTGTATGCCCTGGGTTTTTATATCTTATAAACAGCATGGATTTCTCAAATTATGAAATAAGAACTACGTTAATTTTCTAATTGTTACATTCTTTATCCGGTTTCCTTTGGGAGACAATTGTTCCATAAGCATGATTACTCTGATCAAGTCTAACTATTAGTTAGACATTGTACATCGTGCTTAGGACTTCTAACAATACTAACATGTTCCACTCACACAGCAGAAAAGAAACCTACTATCAAATGTTATATCTTATATTTGTTCTTTGGTATCTGTCTTCCAACTCAATTTCAATAATTAAGTAAGGCTACTATCAAATGTTATATTGTCTCCATTTAAGCTTAGTATTTGGAACCGTAAATCGGCGAGAACCGAATCGGAACTAGAGTAGACTGAACAGTACGGTTCTAGTAATAAATTTAAGTAGAATCGCACCAAACCGAATCGTTGATATTTTCCGATTCCGGTTCCGATTTAAGGGTGGAACCGCATTGCACCGTGCCCACCCCTACGTAATCTTATTTATTCATATGGCGCTACAATTGCAAATAGTTCCTTTACAAGGGCACTGTATTTCTACAACAATGATGCATTACATAAAAAAAAAAAAAAAAAAAGAAAAAGCAGCCTATAAATAGAACAAGCAAAGCATGAAAGTGCTTTTGTCTAGTCTCCTTTAAAATCGCTAATAATTCCCAACAAATCAAGCAGGCCAAATCCCCAATCCCTTTACCAGTAGGGCCATCCACCCTTTTGATTCATTAGATTACATCTCTCTCTCTCTCTCTCTCTCTCTCCCCTTCCGCCTCTGACCTCAAAAGCAAGAAAGAGATCCATAAGTACTTTTGCACAAAAGCATTAAGCAGCTGTTAACCACAGTTCCTTCCTCCTCCTAGTCCATAGCATTGGGACCAAAGCATCTTCTTTTAACAGGGTTCCAAATCCACTGCACCAGAAACTTCCTTCCTTTCACCCCATTCACATTGAACCCATTTCCCCATTTGTCCTTTGAAACAACCCCTACATACCCTCCACCCCCACCACTCCCATACACCCCCATACACAAGTCAGCAATTTCTGTAGGTGCAGTCGGATCATCACCTGCGTACCACGCATTCACAAGCGGGTTACTCGATACCTCCGCTAGCTCATGAGCTATCACACTTATCATCCCATCAGCGCCCGCGTCCCCATTGGGCGCGCGCATAATGTTGTTGCCTCCAGGTGTGCCTGGTGGCGGCCGGCCTGAGTACTTGGGCCAGGCAAAAGGGTAGGCGCAGACGCCCGGACACTGACTCCCGCTATAACCCACCCATGCATACGGCACAGTCACACCAACTAGGGTTGGAAATGTGAAGTAGTGAAAACCACAAACCGCCCTGCAGAAGTCTTGAACCCTAACATCAGAAGAGCTCAAAATTAAGTAGACCCCGTTTCTCGGGTTGAGAGGCAAGGCTCCTCGATGTGAAGTGACGGCATTTTTTATGATGGACTGCATCGAAAGGCGGCTGAGATAGCTTCCATGGGAGTAGGAAGAATCGTAAAACTCGCCGGAGAGAGCAATGGTTCTAGTGATGTTTGAGCCAGTCTGGTCAGTGTAGAGCCTCACAGTGCTCCACCAATCAGCAACAGAAGGGTACGGAGCAGGAGAGGAGAGAGAGTAGACGAAGTCTCTAACGGTGGATTGGTGATTAGGGTTCCACTGGCCATACCATATAACATAAAGGTTGATAGGAGAAGCAAGGACAGGACCCATGTGGTACTGAAGGTCCACCAGATCAGATGAACCCTCGTAGTTTTTGGCCTGGTTGAATTGTCTGTTTTGGCTCCATGAATATTGAGCCAAAGTTGTGGAGAAAAAGAGGGAAGAGAGGAAGAAGAAAGTGCAAAGTTCCAGGTTTTGCATCTTTAATGGTATGTGGTGTTTGTGAGTGGTGAGAGCGGGGAGGTTCTTATAGATAGGGAAAGTTGAAACCAATGAAAATAAATAATGGGGTGGGTGGTGATGAGTAGTTTTTTGCATGTTTGCATAATTTCAAGGTCTTGTCTACTTTTTAATGATAACTATGCTGTTCACCTTTTCTTTTCTTTATGGGAGCCTTTTTCTCTTAAATATACACTCTTATTTATTTTTTACAATAGAATCTTAAGAAATTAATGAAGAATTGTTGTTTAACTACGATTTAGTGGTATTTCTTTTATATTTGTAAATGAGAGATTTTAAGTTTGATTCTTGCAAATAAGACTTTGAATCACATTATTATGGCTAGCCCAGAGACTTAGCCTACTCTAGAATTAAGTAACAAAAATAAATGAATAATAAGATGTGTATAAGGAGAAAGCAGGTACAAATATTTTACTCGATTGTTATTTTAATATGTAAGCTCTATTTTGAACGGATAGAACTATGAGCGCAAATTTTATTGCACTCAACTGTAATGACACTATATATAAGGAGTTTTGTGTTCTATAGTTTGGGTTTAAAGTGTTTCTTACTAACATGATTAGGTTTAAGAGACTAATTAATGAAATAAAAAGAACTCTCTAGTATTCTTATTCCCATATTAATTAGAATAAAGGTGTTATGCTAATCAACCTTTCTATGTATAAAGCCTACACTTAGGGTAGAAGATTGGGATCATAGAAGAAACTGTTTGTTTGTCCCCAAAACAGTTATGGCACTAATTTTTATATCTGATTCTCTTCTCTTTCTCTTAGATTTTTCTTGTCTTTCCATGTAATTTGATACTTCCATTGGGTTTGTGTATGATGATAACCTTGGTTATTGCCAAACTTCACAAACTTCACATCTTCTTTTAACACAAAACTTATGCTTCAGTAGTTGGCCACATATTATGGTTCTAGCTCATAAACTAAATTATCATTTGGGTAAAATAAGCAACCTGACTATCTTCCAATGATTTAAAAAAATCACCATTTATTTCAGTTTACCCTAACAATTGATAATATTTTGTGAGAAACGCTTAACGAGTCAAAAAAAAAAAAAAAAACCGCTTAGCTGATAGGCTATGGTAGTCAAGTACAATAACAATCAGGTGCCTAAATTTTTTTTTTTTTTTCTTCAAAACGGAGCTTTAAGTGCTTTTGATGTTTGAACTAATCAAGAGTTTTAAGCACTGCCAATTATCCTTAAAGAAGAATCGTCCCACACGGTTTTCTATCTTTTTTCAATCAGAAGTTAAAACACTCACCAAACTGTGATTAGGATTCAGGATAAAGTTGTTCACAAGAATAAAGAAGAAGAAGAAGAAAAATGATGAGGGTCAAATCCAAGTGTCAAAAAAATGAATGATCGGTGTGGAAAAAAGCAAAGTATGGGATGCCTTTCCATAATTTTCTCCCTTTTCGACTACACCCCTTCCTTTTCATGATCATTGACTATATATGTTCTTCGTTTGCATTAGTTAATAAATCAAATGCATGATGTAGTGTTTTCTTATGAAATTCCTCAGAAAAATTCAAAGACCAAATTGTTTTCTTTCTCAAAAAGTTAATTTATGTAAACCAGTGATAGTAGTTAATAGCAACAAGAAACACTTAAAAGAATTCAATTACAATATATATATATATATATAGATATATATTAGCTTATCAAATATATAATAGATGGGCAAGAGTTTTTTTTTCTCCTTCAAAACGATGCTTCAAGTATTTTAATTGTGAAAAAAGAGTTTTGAAGAGCTGATTTGTGAATCATGCATATATAAATGTCTATCAAAATATCAGAAGTTTATGGTTAAATGTATTTGCATTAATCATGCAAATTGTGGGAGCATTGCATATATTCAACTCTCATCAGCCCTTAAAAATAGGGCTGGATTGGATTCTTAAAGGAAAATGCTCAAAAGAAGGGAACTGTGTGTTGTTGGCTTGCTGCCATTTAATCATCACAAAGGTCTTCCACTTGAGTGCCAAATGCCCCAATGCTTT